CCCAAGCAACACCAGGAAATAGGAACTGTCACTCCCTGGGCATGACAAAAGTGCTTTTATTTATTGTGCCTGTGAGAAAAATAAGAGCTCCTGACTGGGCCTGGCCTTCTGGCCTCTGCTCTCTGATCCTAGGGGCTGCCTCCTTGGTAGGGGACTGGTCCAGACCCTCCAGGCTAAGAGGGAGAGCTCAAGGCAGCTGGTCAAGGAAGGCAAGGAGGACAAGGTGGAAGTCTTTTGGCTTGTGGAGGTAGCAGGCGTGACCTGCGTCCTGCAGCTTCACCACAGAGTGGTTGGGCAGGTGGCGGAGCTGCCGCAGTGACTCCCGAGCCAGGATGTGGTCCAGCTCCCCATACAGAATGAGAGTCGGGGTCTGCAGGGCAAGGCAAGGGGCTGTAACCCCACGGCATGATGGGGACTAACCCTCAGGCCATCTCCTTAGGAAATCTTCCCCAAACACCCATCTTTTCCACCCAGATCAGGGACGGGGCCATGTGTGCTCCATGTGTCCTGAGTCCTCTCCTCCCACGACAGGGAGCCAGGAACTTTGGAGCCCCTCTTCCCATACCTTCACGGCCCAGAACTGTTCCTGAGTGTAGTTCTGGGTGGAGGCGGGTGCGATGGGCACGAATCCGTGCAGCTGATGGTGGTCTCGCATCAGGAAGGGCAGGGCATAGCGGCCACTCAGCGAGGGGCTCACCAGCACGGCATTCTGCACCTCCAGGTCCCGCAGCACGCGCTCCAGCAGCTCCGCCCGCCCTGCCTCCGTTCTGGCCTCCTTTGAAGGAGCTGAGTTCCCAAAACCTGGGAGCAGTGGGAGGCACCAGCTGAGGGGGCTGGGAAGGAGCTCAGAAAAAAGAGGTGGGGAGCAGCGGAACATGGCCCATGCTACCCCAAATGTCCAGGAGCTATTTTTTGTGATGTAATAGGCCTGCTAGGAAAACATCTTTCATTCATATCATATTGGCAAAACTAAAATACTGATAATGCGCAGTGTTGGGGAAGGTGTGGGGAAATGGGAACTTTCATACACGACGGATGGGAGGAAAAATCCACAGAGCAGTTTTGAGGGTAAGGTAATAACTGTCAGAATTTAAAAGATGAGTGTCCTTTACCCCATCGGTTGTCCTTGGTAGCTATGCTACAGAAATGATTGCCCACATGCTCACAGAAGCATGTCCAAGGGTGCCCAAGCATTCCAACGGACACGGCGAACTCTAAACCGATCTACATACCCACCAGTAGAGGGACGGCCAGAAGAACCTGTCCACCCCTCCCATGGCGCACACTACAGAGAGGAAGATCACAGCGACTGGCGTGACCCATGAGACACGGTAGAGGGGAGAAAACCAAGCTGCGGATAGACTCACTAAATCGCAGGCCACCAATCGTGCTGGCAGCCCCCATCACACAATCCTGCATATTGTCTGTTTCTCTATGCACGGAAGTGTCCAGAGGGGGTCTGGCTCCCCCAAACTGCTGAAGTGAGGGAAGGAAATGTGGCACCGGTCTCTGAGGGTGTCACCCTTGTTTGGTTTTTTCAAATAACAAGAGTGATAGCATAAATCATTTGACAGCCAAAAAACCAAAATGCTCCCGGGTTTGTCATAAAAGGCGCAGTGAGATCTCCACATGCAACCCAGTGACCTCAGGCATGTTTCCACCTGCTCCGTGATGTGCGACAATCAGGCGAGTTTTCAAGGCAGAAAATAAAGACAGTCCTTTTTGCGTTGCCATCTTGTGTTGTGACCTGCCACTGCCCGTCTGGATACTGGGGTTCAGATGCCCTCCTGGCCACATCTTAGGGCTTCCCTACCCCTCCAAGTTCCCTTCTGGGAAGCTGTCCCCTTGGACCTGCTGCAGGCTGCCTTCCCCAGGAGACCCAGGAGTCGGGGCTCTCACCTGGGAGGTCAAGGGCCACAGCCCGGTAGCCCCTCTGTGCCAGCAGCTGCAGTGTGCCCAGCTGCTCCCACGTGTGGGAGTTAAAGGCTTTTCCGTGGAGCAGCACCACCTGCACCCTGTGGGCACACAGAGGAGGGTGGGCCTGAGAGTCTGGCAGCGGCCCACTTCTTCCTAGGCTTCTCCCATTGCCCTCCCAGGCCCTGAGCACCCTGAGTTGAGCTGGGGTTCCACCCAGGGACTCCCTTCAGGCCTAGTCCTTCCACTCTACCCCTGGGTCAGGACCCACCTGTGTGACCGACGGAGTGGGAGAACCTCACGGTAGAAGATGGGGGAGTTGCCAGGGGTGAGACCAGCCAGGATTGTGACATTGGGGTCTCTCCAGAGCCAGGAAGTGTGCTCGGGGGGGCCCGGCAGCCCCACGTACAGCAGCAGCATGAGCAGCAGGCCCAGGCCCAGCAGAGCTATCTGGGACCGGCTCATGGCGGTCCATACCACAGTCTGGAGGAGGAGAGGAGAGGGAGAAGAGGCTGGGCTGAGGCCCCACGTGGACTCCTGGACCCCACACCTAAACCCTACCCGAATCCCCCAGCAGAGGAAGAGCTTAGCCTTTGCCCTTTCTCCTGCTCTGGGCAGGGGTCTGAGGGTTCAAACCCAACTGCTCCACATGCCAGGGTGAGGGTTCAGGTACCCCGCAGTGTGCGAAAGAGCACCTGAGATGCCCCCCTGGCACACAGCATGCCAAAGGCCACTATTATTATAGGTCTCTTAATAGGAAACTTTGAGCTTCGGGAGATTCTCTTGCTCAAAGTGCAGAGTGCTAGCAAGCAGGGGAACTGGAATTTGAACCCAGGGCTGGACTCCTACCAGTGGGACACACTTGGCTTGCCAAAGAGGAAAGCGTGGAGCTGGGAGGTGACGGATGAGCCGGAGCCTTGCTAGTGGAACTGGTGAGGGTCCTCAAAGGTGAGAGACTCCCCCTGAGGGCTTGTTTGAAAATGGCTCTTTTTATCACACTGCGTATTCTAGTGCTGAAATCAGAACGTGCTTTACAATGGATGGGAATATTTAATTTTCCGCCCTGCTGAGGTGAAGCGTGAAGTGGGGAGGAGGCTCATGGAGAGGCTGAGGCAGGAGGTGGGTGGGCCCAGGCAGGAGAATGGCACAGACGGGGAAAGGGCAGCATGGAGGCTGGAGAGATGAACACCCCCCACCCTCCCAGCTTCATGCCAAGTAGCTAGCTTCAGGACTCCTCCAGCCAGGGTCCTTTGCCAGCCCAGAGGACAGGCCTCAGGGCCAGGACCCAGGCAGAGCAGTCAGCCCTGGCTTTGAGGCTCTGCTCCGCACTTCCCAGCCCGAGTCTTCAGTTGGTCAGCAGAATGGACAGGATAGTCCCAGGCGGCCCAAGCCTCCCGCAAGGTTTCAACAATACAGTGCACTTGCCTTGGGGCTGGCCTGTCATCACTTTGTGGGCCTAGGAGGAGCACCCCTGCTTGTTCCCAGGTTCCAGCAAACACATCTCTTTTCAGAGCCACCGGGGCATGGCCTCAGCTGGACCGGGGACCAGTCTGCAGCCCCACCCACATCTCGGGATGCTTCCTAAGCCCCCATTCCCAAGCTCTCGAGTCAGGTGGGACCCAGGAGCTGAGCGGAGGAAGAAGGAGCTTCTCTCTTCTTTCTGACCAGGAACTGACTGGGATGCGGGCCTCCAACGCGGTTGGCTTAGGTTCCCACGAGACCAGGCTTGGGCGCTGGCCCCTCCTTGCAGCGGAGACTGGGCCACAGGGGGCCTCTCCAGGTTGGGAGGGGTGGGAATTCGGCTGTCGCCTGGGCAGCCCAGGGGGCTGGAGCCCTAGACAACCTTACCCTGCCAGCAGCAGGCAACCTGGTCTCGCTAGCTACAGATCTAGGGGCTGGGGCTGAGGGTGGAGCAGCACACGCTTAGGCCTTGGCACACGCGTCGGCAGTGACACACAGGTGTACGCGACTGCACACAACTACCGAGTTTTGCCCGCACCGGATTTTCTCTCGCGCAAGCTATTCCCTGCACTTAGACACACCTCTGACTGGCACTGGCCTGTGCGAAATCGATCCCTTGAAACGAAATACACACCCTCAAAATCATGCGCACCGTCAAGCATCAGGAAGGCAGCCGGACAGACAGACACACAGACACACACACGGCTTCAAATTCACATGCAGAACCTCAAATTTCAAGAACACCGCCATCCGCACAACCCTAAAACTACACATGAACGTAAGAAACACACGTGCACAGGCGGACGGACGGACACACACCCAGACCCTCAGAAACACACACGGTAGACACAGGGCTCGTGCCCGCAAAATCATACGCTGAGCTACACGCAATGGACATACTCAGACAGCAAGCCGCGGACAGACCGACACCCGCCAGCACCCGGGCCCA